AACTTAAAAGAGAAAGCTAAGGGCGGGGGTCTTTCAATACCATGTCCAAGTTTTCTTCTTTTCATCTTTGAGATAGGATCTCACCATGTAGCCCTGACTGCCCTGGATCTTGCTATATAGACTAGGCTGGTTTGGAAGTTGTTTGGTCTCACAGGGAGTCCAAATATTCAGAAATGAGTTTAAATGGGGCTACAGAATTTCTGGTGGTTAGACAAAAGCCTGAATTCTCAGGAACTTGTGAAACTGTTTCTCATCTGCCAAAAGGAGTCATTTCCCTTACTTTGTACGGAAGGGACATATGGCTGTCTGTGGCACCTATTAGCATATCAAGTCCTATGCTGGCCTCCATGTTCCCTCCATGTTACAAGAACCTGTTAAACATTTCAGACTTCACTAGCATTCCAGCCCTAATCACCCCCTCTCCTTTACCCTAAACTCCCCTCAGCTGCATTTCCTTCTCCCTCCCTCCCTCTCTCCCTCCCTTCCTTGCTCCCTCCCTCCCTCCCTTCCTTTTTTTTTTTTTTTTTTTTTTTTTTTTTGGCTTTTTCGAGAAAGGGTTTCTCTGTAGCTTTGGAGCCTGTCCTGGAACTCCTCTGTAGAGCAGGCTGGCCTCAGGATTCAGAGGTTCATCTGTGCCTGCCTCTTGACAGCTGGGATTAAAGGTGTTCACCACCACCTCCTGGGCTACACATCCTTCTTATAACCTGGATATTCTCTCTCTCTCTCCTCTCTCTGTTTTTCGAGAGAGGGTTTCTCTGCATAGCCTTGGCTGTCCTGCAACTCGATCTATAGACCAGGCCTTGAAATCAGAGAGATCCACCGGCCTCTGCTAACCCAGTGTTGGTATTAAAGGTGTCTAGTCTTCTTCTTTCTTTCTCTGCTGTGGACTCTTCCAGATGCCTCTGGATATACCTTCTCTCTTTTACCTACAATAAAAACCTTCCCCTTAACCATATCATGGATGGTTATATCATATCACTCATGTTGGCAGTTTCTTTACTGCCCCCCCTTGCATACAGAATTCACATAAATGTGTCTGCCTCTGCCTCCTGCCTGTGCCACCCTCGATGTCACGGATATGGGCGGTATCTATGCAGATGAGGGGCGCGCAGGGGCTACTGAGCGGCTGTGTGTGGGATTTCGAAGGCGTCATGGGAGGGAGCGCAGATCGGCGGGTGTCAGCGTAGTGCAGAAATAGGGTGCTCCTGGATGCGCGCCCGTGGAGGTCCTGCAGCGCAGGGCCGGTGGGGCTGAGTAGGGCCTGCGCTTGTGTCAAGCATACTTACCTGGCAGGGGAGACACCATGATCAAGCAGGTGGTTTTCCCAGGGCGAGGCCCACCCATTGCACTTGGGGTGTGCTGACCCCTGCGATTTCCTCAAATTAGGGAAACTCGACTGCATAGTTTGTGGTGGTGGTGGTGGGGGGACTGCGTTCGCGCTCTCCCCTCGTGTTTGCTGTAATGAAGAACATGCTTTCTTTCTAGTGCCTTGAGACTTTTCTGTAACAGGAAGTTGTGTAGTAAGATCCTTGAGCTTAGTACGTGTTTATTTTTTGGCACCTCACTTTCACTGATCTTCAAGTAGTTTTTCTTTAGTTTGTGATTTTTCATTTAGGCCCTAAAAGTGACAACTTAAGAAACGATAACATCCCGAAATTTCAAGTCTGGAATTTTTTCTGCTTTAAAACCAAAGAGCACTTTTAGGGACCTACGTCTCAAATTTTCGTTTCACAGTCCAGACCTTTCTTTCTTGGTTCCCGAACTTAACATGCACCAGACCTGGGCTCGGGGACAGCACACCTTCGCTAGGAAGCAATTCTTTTTTTGTTTTTGTCCCTCCTCTGGTGTTTTTAGGTTATTTAAAATTAAAAAAAAAATTAGTGAATTTATTGTCTCCCTGAGAAAGTTGGCATCAAACCATCGGTTCCATTCAAGATGCTCTAGTCTCTTAATAGCCAGCATCCTGGGCCTCCACCCGGCTCCCGCTTCCTCTGGACCCTGCGGTGGTATCCCCGCTCCCTCCCCCCCCCGCCCCTGCGGGTCCCTCTCCACTCTCGGGCCAAGTCCCTCCATCTCCCAGTCTTCCTGCCTGGCGCGGCACTCGCCGCCTTGCCCACGCGGGCCGCGCCGAGGCTCCAGCTCACACCTGGGGTGACCAGCCCTTCACGCGTCTGTGTTCGGGGTCTGCAAAGGACGGGACCCCAAAGCGCACTTGGGCTCCTTCGCCGAGTCCTGCTGGGCGCCCCAACCGACCGCGAGCCCGCCAACGCGGAGTCCCCGTCGGCCCCAACCACCGGGTGGCAGCGGGGTCCCAGGGTCCCGGAGGCGCGGGCAGCTCGTGCGGGATTCATAACGTTCGTGCGAACTTGGGCACTTAAGAAACGATAAAATCCCGAAATTTCAAGTCTGGAATCTTTTCTGCTCTAAAACCAAGAGCAATTGCCACCAATTGGTCCCGTTCTTTGGCTTCGAAGACTGCGGCTCCCGGGTGTGTCCGCCGTGGTGACACCTGGCTCACCAAGGAGACACCACAGTTCCTTCTGTACCGTCTCTGTGGCGCAATCGGTTAGCGCGTTCGGCTGTTAACCGAAAGGTTGGTGGTTCGAGCCCACCCAGGGACGAGGTGGGCTTTTAATAGTCTTTCCTAATTAAGACGGTCCACCGGCGGACCAGCTTATTTGACACCTGGAGAATGTATATTCCCCCATCCCGCTCAGAAATCCTCAAGACCCCTCATACGTACAAAAGCCTTATCTCGCCTGTCAATGGTTCCGCCTGACCTCTGCAAGGAAAGCAGCAGAGCCTTTTCTTTTTTGGGGGGTGGGTACGTGGTGGAATGCCGAAAACAACAAAGCCAGTTTTTATTTTGGGAGGATAGGGGAGCACCTGTGGACAACCCCTACCTGCTATCTCTGGTTTATTTGGGGATGGGTGGGTAGAGTGGCAATCCTTTGTTAATAAAGGAAAATTATGGACCACAAGTCGCCAAAGTACAGGTACAGACCAGATTTTAATAAAGCAGATAAACGTTGCACCACTGGTGAAAAATATGCACGCGAGAAGGGCGACCGCAACACAATTCGTAATCAGAGCACCCTCGAACCAATTTAACTCGGAAACCATGTGGTGTGGAGACACCAAAACACATCCCGGAAACGGGCGGCCCGGCCGTGTGTTAGGGAACCCGGGGCTGGCGGGGGGGGTGTGGTCTCTGCAGGCTGGCGGCGTTTCTGTGCGGCTGGTTTGCTCCGCGGCTCTTTGGAAGGAGCCCGCAGCAGTTTGTCTCCTCCCGGGGTGCTCCAGCCACGGCGGAGCGGAGGGAGATGGAGGTCTCCAACGAGCTTGGGGACATACTGCGCCTGCGAGGATGGCATCGACCCACGGACTTCACAGCTCGCACCTGCCCTCACCACCCAACTGGGGCACAGAGGCTCGCGGAAGGTGAATGAGGCTCCAAGAAAATACCTTGTCTGGTGTGTGGCTCGCCGTGATCGTATAGTGGTTAGTACTCTGTGTTGTGGCCGCAGCAACCTCGGTTCGAATCCGAGTCACGGCATTTGTCGTCCCTCCTGTCTGGCACGCTGCTTTCTTGCCCCCTGCACCTCTCAACTGCCAATCACCTCTAAGACCTCGCGCATACTAAGCAACTTTCTCTCCCCCTTTGAGCAATGCTCCATCCCTAGTTTTGGTCTTGGTCCATGTGATAACAAGGTCTGAATGTTCCTATCTGGTTTTTGTCATAGCAATTTCCAGCAAGTGGAAAATCTTGTTTTGTATGTCCTGCCCCCGCCACCACCACCACACACACAGGTGAAAATTTCTCTTCTGTCTCTGCGCTCTGTCTCTCTCTCTCTGTCTCTCTCTCTCTCTGTCTCTGTCTCTCTCTCTCTGTCTCTGTCTGTCTCTGTCTCTGTCTCTGTCTCTGCTCTCTCTCTCTCTCTCACACACACACACACACACACACACACACACACACACACACACACACATATCCTGACCAAGGAGACCTGAGAATCATAAACTACATACCTCCAGAGATCCGTTCTCCAGATCCCCACTGAGAGGTGAGACGAAGTCACTAGTACACTTAACAAAAACTGCTGCTCATCACAACGCAGGATGCCAGGACGGGAGATCAATTATGTCTCCGTGTGCTCTTTAAGCATGTGACGTGAAACACTTTTGTTAGTTGCGTAACAGAATAGGTGTTGCGAGCCATAAGTTAAGGGGCCATTCAGAGCAGTGGAAAACTACAGGTCATTGACGGACTTGCCACCTGGCAATTGCCACCACTAGCTGTTCTATTCCTGGAAGAGATAAGCAGCTCCGAGGACAAGAAACATAGGCTTTCAGGCAACAGGCATTTTTTAGATAGCCTTATGCAAAACACCAGGTGTACTAACTCCCTGCTCCCTCCTCAGTTCCTCCTCCATGCGGCCTGGTGGTCCATCCCGGGAGCCCCACCGACAGCGGCCTTGCTCCCTTCTCCCTCCTCCCTCCCTCCCTCCCTCTACATTCCCTCCTTGCCACATCCCTATATAAGTCTTATTATTCCCTCAATAAAGTGAGACCTCGACAACAGATTTTTTGCTTGATCTCCTTTCTTTCTCTCACCCATGATATCTTTCAGGCAGTACCTCTTCAGACCCTGGAATAACTGGACCCGCGGGACGGGTCAAATAGGCATTTTACAGGCTATTTGAAATGAATTTGAAACCCATTTGATACACGCGTTTAAAAGTGGGCAATAATCTCACAGTATAAAAGTAAGAGGGTGAAGAAGATCCTGCCTGATGGACACTCAGGAGACAATTTGATTTGCTCTTTAAAACTTTAAAAAAATCATGTTCATGCATTTGTATAAGCTCCCATGCGCTTGTGAGCACATTCCTCCCAGTATGCTGTGGGCTAAGGCAGCGACTTGAAGGAGCCTGTTCTCTCCTTCCACTCCAGCACGTGGGCTCAGGGATTAAACTTGGGCTCAGACTGGTCTGCAGGTACCTTCACAATCTGAGCCGTCTTGCCAACAGGTCATTTGAAATTATTGTGAAAACCTAATTTTACTATCTTTGGAATGGTATTTTAATAAACTATGTAACTATAACATATATAATGGTTTCTATAAATTATAGTAGCACTAAGCAGACAAATTAAAATCTGAGCCGGGCGTTGGTGGCACACGCCTTTAATTCCAGCATTCGGGACACAGATGCATGCAGATCTCTGAGTTCGAGGCCAGCCTGGTCTACAACAGCAAGTGCCAGGATAGGCTCCAAAGCCACAGTGAAACCCGGTCTCGAAAAACAAAACAAAACAAACAAACAAACAAACAAACAAATTAAAGTCTGAATGGCTAGAACTGTAAACTTTACACCACTGAAGACTCAAATGATGTTAGCTTGGAAATCCTTAAAATAACAGTAGTCTTTTTAACTCAGTTGTCTCATCCATAATAATGTCTTGCATTATTCTATTGTGTATATTCTAAATTCAGTAATTAACAACTGTCCTCATCCAAATAAGCTGGAGTCCACCATCAAAAGGAATGGAATGATCAGAATTTACCATTAATACTAGTTATCTCTCCTTTACTATGCTAAATTTGTGTAAGAAGCTGGTAACTTATTAATCGAACATATCAGGAGGATTATTGAAAAGAGGTCCGCTTCTCTCAAAAAATTTTCTTGTAACATTGTGAACACTGGCAGTTGCTTACGACATCATTGTTTTAATACGGGTTTCTTTTTTTTCTTTCCTTCTCTCTCGCCTTCAGCTAATGAATGCTTATTTATTTTCAGTAAATTGAGATTCAAAAATTTTAAATTAGTTTTTAGAATAGACTGTATTTGTTTGGTTAAAACATTAAATATTGTAGCCTGACAATGGTGGCACATGCCTTTAATCCCAGCACTTGAGAGGCAGAGGCAGGCAGATCTCTGTGAGTTCCAGGCCAGCCTAGTCTACAAGAGCTAGTTCCAGGACAGCTAGAGCTACACAGAAAAACCTTGTCTTGAAAAACCAAAATAAACTAGTACATAAATAAATACATTAAATGTTATACAGCACGGAGAGTGAGGCCTCCCCACCATCTCCTTTCATTCTAACAAGCCAACTCTGTTCTTTCACAGACATTTTAAAAACGTTTTCATAATTTTATCTCATTTGTAAATTTCTTGTTTGTTTGTTTTGTTTTTCTTTTTTTTTCTTTCTTGGTTTTTCGAGACAGGGTTTCTCTGTGAAGCTTTGGAGCCTATCCTGGCACTTGCTCTGTAGTCAGGCTGGCCTGGAACTAACAGAGATCCACCTGCCTCTGCCTCTCCAGTGCTGGGACTGCCCACTGCCCAGCTTTTTTTTTTTTTTTTTTTTTTTTTTAATAAGGGCAGGACCTTATATATTAAGTCTATATCTATATTTCATTTAGAGTATAACTTTCCAGTTTTTTCTTTAAT